TCTAGTTTTCTTACAAGTTAATTAGACTTCGGCACTATAGCATCAACCTCCTGGTGCGAATTCCGCACGCGCTTAGCCCCTTGCATGCTTCTTTTTTTGTCGAGTTGCCGCAACTTGGATAGCCTGGCCTCCACGTAAAGTGCTTCAGCAGTCCATTTGGGGCCGGTATATTGTCAAGAATGCGAAATCCTCGAAATATTTCAGCAGAGTCCAGCGGCTCGGAGGTATCGAAAAAGTCATTGTTCGGTCGAGACAGCCATGAGCACGGCTTCAAAGGATCTCGATACGACCACAGTCACGGTAGCACTTGAGAATTTTCAAAAACAGAATTTCAAGAACTAATTTTAGGATCAAATAAGATGATTGTAAAATAATTCTTCCGTATAGGCGACGATGAAGAGGGAGGTTTCGAACACGGTTACCATTTGAACGGCATGGATTATGGCTCGCAGTATGACTCTCACCGTTATGGTCACGGTCATCATCCGGACTTCGGGAAACACTCTGGATATCCTAGTCTTTATCACCATGGTGCTTCTCCCTACTAACATTTTCTCCTGTAAATTATAGTCATTCGATGAAAATAAAGTGTGTATAATTGGGAGGGTGATGGTAATTGAGTAATTGGGGCTCAGAACTATGAATACAATCTTTGTACTCACAACCTATAATAAACTCCTCTGAATGTTTTCTATTCTAAGAAATATCATTGCTGGGGTACATAATGCGGAAATTAACTTCACTTGCAAATTTCTACGCTTCAGACCACCATGACTTTCTTCCCAACAATCTCTGGGACTGTGGACAAGACTGCAGTCTTATTCACTGGAGCGTCTCAGGAGCTGGATTAGGCGCAGCTCCAGTCCTTTCTCCAGCATTTGTCAAAGTGAGCCAGCGACAACAATTTGCAAAAAGCGATTGATACGAACGACTGTCACCACGCCGAACCCCATCTCCTTGACAGTCCCCATTACCCGCAGTGAACGGGACTGTACACTCATTATCCCTGCAAGCGAGTGGACGTGTGAGGGAGAGGGAGGTGAATCATATGGCTGTCAGAGCGGCCTTCACTATTGGGTTGGAACAAATGTCCTGCGACACTTTGACCAAAATTTCGGACCAAGTTTCGTCACTAAGCGACACCCCGCAATCACCATTAATGAGCAGTACCGGTGCCCACCTTTCGCACATCTTCTCCATTCCACACTTGTAGCAGTGCGGCAACTGCCACGAAAAAAAAGAGGACTCTATTAGTACAGGTTGATTTTAAAAAATTTTGCTTCCCACAAGATGCAGTAGGGATCAAATTAGGTGGTACTTGATGGCTGCGAAATTTAGTGAGTAAGCTGGGTACGGTCGCATCCCCTGATCGACATCCGGATCTTTTAGCGCAGCTTAATCCTAGCATGCGGTCATCGTACGAGTAGTATAAAGAAAGTGAGTGTTTCTGAATGAATTCAAGCGTGACGTCATCCATGTTTCCACGTTGATTAGTGTAGACTGTGGCCGACATTGCTGTGCCAGTACCTAGCGACGTCGCTTTGAAGTCCCACCAATAACACAGTGAAATCTTTATTCCATGCACATCTGCTTTTGGCTGGTCATTTCTCTTCAAGAGATCCTGTGAAGGATATGTGCATGATTTACGCAAGGAACTCAGCTCTCGTTACCAACCGCAATGTCTCAAAAAGTTCCTTCCAATGTGCACAAAGGAAAGAGAACTCAGTCTCTAGCATTCAGTGCGTTTATCAGACTGGCGCAACTCAAGTGGCATCCTTCACAGAAAATTTTCCCGATGACCGAGATTGCGAAGAAGCATGGCAGTTGTCAGTCAGGTGCAACCGGGCGATATCACCAATTCACTGGTGGTTGCTTTCGCCTTCGCCCCTGGGGGTTGAGTAAACGGCCGTCGCTCTGAGCTGGTGGCCGAACCATACTTTGCCTATTTTCAAGAAAAATAAGTCCAGTTGCAAGCGCTGAAACAAGCGCGACACTGTGTGTGGGTAGTGATTTTCTCCCTGAAGACAACGCAGAGGTTAGCCTCCTCGACTATGGCGGAGTGGATCTAAATGAACTCATAATGTGCTGTAGCTCGAAAGTACCTAGACCTTTGGGGAATTTTGAGTTTTGAAAGCTTCCGCAAAACCATAATATACGCGTCTGCAAAAACGTTAGAGAACGCTCTCCACTAGCCAGGTGGAAAACATTCAAAAGGCTTTTTTTTGATTTTATCAAGAACACTTTGGTAAATATGTCGCTGGACATTCTTTCCAACGTAATGCAAAGTGATGAAATCCTGAACCGCAACAATAGATGGAAGGACTGTCTCAGCTGCACTCTAACTCCACAGCCCTTTTCCGAAACCCTTTCGTTCATAAGAAATATAGTGGCGGTGGGGCTCCAGCCGCAGTGAAAAACAAATTTTGGCGACCACCAGTCGCTGTCAGGTGAGTTCAAAAAACGGAGATGTGGGCGAATACCCATCTCTCTCCCACCGCTGCCAATTTGCGATCAGAGCACGTCCTGCCGTCGGCGAAAACTTCTGCAGAGAAACGCTCTCTAAATTCCCTTTCTCGGCCATTCCATTCTAAGGAAAAGACATTGAGGTGTCGCGTTTCTTCTCACAGACGAACTAAAGTTCTCAGCGGCTCCCTTTTCGAGGATTACTCCACATCACAAAGTACTTGCTGCCAGAGACTAAGTAGTGCGGAAGCGGCCCACGCAGTGCAGATCAAAGCGTTTTCAATGATTCGAGAATAAGTTTCATTTCCTACTGCTGTTTATCTCCCCTACTTCTGCTTATCTCCTCTTCAGTGAGCTCGGAGATTCAACTCATCTCACGCTCGCAGATCTTGCTAATGAGGTCGCATTGTTGCAGAAGCCAAGAAGCAAGTTTAAACGTCAGCTGGTCAGAAATAGATTTGTGACGTCACATGTCTACTCCATAGAACCGCCGTTACCCGAATGGAGTGGCTGAAAATTATGGAAAGTGTTTAGAGGGGGAGTGGGAGATTCTAATTACCAATTCGCGTTAAGAGAGTTTTGAGCAATGGATTAAGGAGCGCTTATGTAGTAAAGGAAAAGTTGACTGGACCTTGGGAAGCGAAAGGAAGAAACTTCATGGAAATCATCCCTGAAGATGAGAATCCGCCGGACTTGACGGAACCTCGAGCAGCGACCTATGTCACCAAGCCAACGAGCCTTTAACACTTGAAAGACAAAGGTTTACTTACAGGTTTCAAGAAACGCGCCCCAACGCAATCGAAGCGCGGACGCGGCGTGCGTATTGGTATTCAAATGGCATGGCTGCCAGTTCTTCCCGCGCGCGCGAATTTGAACACAACAGTCTGTAGGTTGGCAGCACAGCATCCTGTGCGGTGTAGATCAACACAGCGATTCTCTTTACCAGGAGTTTCCGAAGAGGGTGAGGATCCCTAACTCGCTCACTTAACACGCAGTGGTAGAAAATAGTGAAAAATCGTTATAATTTTTGAATTTCCACCTGTTTAAAGTCGGGCCTTATGGTTTTCCATCTTAACTGAAGTAACACATGTATTAGAACACCGGAGTTCATCTAAACTGAATTCCTGTAAATAGGGTGAGCAATTTTGCTGGGATCCTGTTTTGTGTACCTACGGAATGTTTGGAAATTAACTCGTACAGAAATTCTTCGGCTGGGTGATGTTCAGTGCTGGAAGGTGCTCAGAAGCCAGGGGAATTTTTAGCTTGACACTTGTTTTCTTCCACGTAGGTGTTGGAAGAAAACGCAAATAAAAAGGAAAAAACCAATCTTAGAAGGGGGAGGGTCGTATGGATCTGCATTTCAGGGATGGGGTCGTACAGACTAGACCGAAACCCCCAACCAGCGATATACGCTCTAGTTCTCTGCGGACGGTTGGGCGTGTCAGGCAGTATGAGTGTGTCACCCCGTCAAAGCCGTTCTCTGCCTTCTTGTTGAAGCGCGCATGCGACAAAAAGTGGTAAACGAGTAATACGAACGATATGATACAGTCATATCATTTGCTCGCTTTAACAACTGGTGGAGAACGGGTTTGGCACCGCGCCAAACTCATCCCGCCTGACACGCCCAACCGTCAGCAGCGAACTACACTATACCCTGCGTACGTGTGCTTTTGCGCATGTGTGCGTGCGTCTGCGCGCGTCCACCGATGCCTACCCCATTTCTGTCTGTGTGCGAGCGCACATTTCAGCTCTATTGAATTATTACTGCTCCGAAAACTAAGATTTCTGCCTGAAAATGTGTATGTAAGGGTAATTCGGTGCTCAATCACGGATATCGTAATCGTCTGGGATCACTACTTGCCAGGTTGACGCCGACATCTCTTAAAAATTGATGTTAACCTGCACCTGGGTTATTCAGTGCCCTGATCACGGGCACTGCATTCGTTTTTGGCACTCGACCATTTCACGCCACCATCTATTTCATCAAAATCGATGGAAAATTGTGTGACACAGATTTTTGAGTCCTGATCACTAGGTGGTATTTTGTTTTAGGCGCTAGCACATTTAGCGCACGGCTAAGGCTGAGTAATGTGAAGACACAGTTTGCAAATCGTACTTTTCCTAGTTTGAGGTACTTTCGAGATCCGACCCGATTCAAATCGTGGTCAGAGAAATTTTGGAAAACTCTCCTAAATGGAGGGAACAAGAGTGAAAAACATTGGAAAATCATCCATATCCTTCTATTTCATGGAAATTTGAAAATTTCATGGAAATTTCCCAGTTTTCCCACAAAACAAACCTTAAAAATAGGGTTTTTCATCGATTTTCCATATAAAACATGGATTTTTCGTCAATTTTCTATAGTTTTGTGAAGGAAATATTGTCTAACCAGGTCATACTGTATGTTAATCGATAGAGCTTGAAAAACTATACTGACGTTATTTTTACGATTTTCCGACTTCTAAACGGTGTTTTATACCTTGAAAGTTGTCATTGAGCTCTATCGTTGAAGAGGTACATGTTTCAGATAGATGTTTCCTGATCACTCATCATCGCCACAGGTCTCATCATCTACGATTTAGCTACCCAAGGGCACCTATTCACTGGCATAACTACGGTTTAACTACCCAAAGGAATCTACTTACCGACAAAAATGTGAGGTGTGTGAATAAAGTCTACTCCTATGGATGCGTCAACGATGCGTGCCTTTTGTACTCTCATGTACTTCCATGGGAGTATAACAGAAGGATTGACTTCACGTAAGTGGATGACTCGCTCAGCCAGGGCACACCATTATTTGGGGATTTTGGTCGGTCGGATCAGTACGACCCCCCCCCCTTTTTTCAGGGCGGCTGGATGCGACTCCCCCCCCCCCAACGGCGCAGTTTGTCGACGGGGGGCATTTTGCTTTCCATAGATGTGTCGACCCATCTAGGCAGCCGTTTCTCGAGTTGACACGTTTTAGGATAGTGGCTAGACGATCTTACTTCAGCTTCACAAGAGTTCACAAGTTTTACCAGAGTGAGATTTGTAAACCGGAACTAGGGAAGCAATGATAATACAAAATGCCCCCCCGTCGACAAAC